TCAGCTCCACCTCTGGCTCAATCCCGGCATGACTTGGTATGCCTCAGCATACTATTGGGTGATGAGGAAATGCCTCCCTCGAGGTAGGTGACTGCACCATTGGCATGACTTGGTATGCCTCAGCATACCATTGGGTGATGAGGAAATGCCTCCCCCAAGGTAGGTGACTGCACCATCGCCACAGCTATGCCTTTCCCCTGACTGGGCAGACACCTCTACTGAGGTGGGCAGTTGGCACAATCCAGCCTGTGTTCCTTACTGGGCTCAGCATCTAGTCAGGAGTTGGTATCTCTGGCCGTCTCTGTTGCCTGAGGCTCCTCGGAAGAGGAAGCAGAAGACCCATTATGTGGCGCCTGCGGCCGAGCCTGAGGCTTATCATTATCAACAGTCTCCTGCAGAGGAACACCTTTTCTATTGAGATTTTCAAAAGGCTCGTTGGTATGACTCCTGTCATTACTATGAGCCTGAAGGCTTCAAACAAGAAAAGAAGGAAACTGGACATCCTCGGCTGTCGAGTCTACTCCTTGGCTTCCTTCATTTTGAGGGTGGCAAATTATTCCACGGCAATGGGGCCATACCATTGCCACTTAAGGAACACGACATTACCAGCCCTACAGGCCATCCCGGAAAAGCTCCAGGGTTCAGGTCTTGCATGTCATCAGGAGGCCATGGCACTGGAGAGGCAGGAGAGAATAGCCACCAGGCATGTAGTGGACCCTGTGTCTAAACAGATTGCCACAGCGGTAACAGATTGCCACGGTGGTGGATGCAAGGTCCAGGATCAAGACCTTCCCTTTGATGTATCAAGACCTTTCCCTATGATCTCCCTTGATGGCATAGATCTCTCTCGGTCATAGATCTCAAGGATGGCTATTTCTGCATCAGCATCTGACCAGAACATCACCGTGTCATGGGTTCAGCCGAAGAAGGCCTGGAATCAGAGGGGTTAATTACAGCTGAGGAAAATGCTGGGCAATTAGTATCACAGGTAGCTGAATCACCGCTAGATGCTCCTCCCCCACTAGCCAGAGTGAGATAAGCTTCAGCAGAGACTCACAACACAGAGGTTTGAGGCTCTCATGAATGCTTCTCACAGGAACAACAAGTCGACCAGCCCAGAATTTTAACAGGATGGAATGTTTCTAGAAATTAGATGATTGTTGTTGCTATATAATTTGTACTCAGAGGCTTGGAAGCAACAAGTCAATTCTCTGGCTCATGTCCACGCTCCTGCTTGTCTTGAACCTTGCTCTCTTGACCCTTGGCTTTCGGACTCTGACTTCTGACTACGGTTTGTGTTTTGGCTTTGACAATTTGGCATCTGTTTTGTATCTCCTGGACTTCTGACCTTGGACTGGCTTATTGGACTTTTGCCTGCTGAATCCCCTGGGAACATGACACACCGTTATCTAAGATTCTCCATCAATGGAGTGATTTATGAATTCAAGGCCTTCCCCTTCAGGCTGTCAACTGCCCTATGGGTGTTCACAAAGTGTTTAGCCCCAGTGGCAATGCATCTGCATTTGCAGTGTGTCACAGTGTTTCCTTACCTGGATGACTGGTTGCTGGCAGCACCAACCTGCGCCCAATCCAAGTGAAATATAACCTTCACTTTATCCCTTTTGTCAGCCCTTGGCCTCCAGGTCAGCCTGGAAAAGTCTACCTTACAGCTCACTTAGCAGGTATCTTACATTGGGGCTATACTCGACTCCGCTTGTGGCTGTGCATTTCTCCTGAAGGACAGGATAGTGAAGATTTGGCTGATGTTAGCCTCCTTCCTGCCAGGTGCCAGGGTGTTGACCCACCCAACCCAGCATCTGCTCGGCCTTATGGCTTCTACCACAGCAGTGGTCCAGATGAGATCCCTACAGGCCTGCTATCTTTTTCTCTTCAACCCCCTCCTCAAACCCCCCCCCCCCCCC